GGAGAAAAGTGCAACATTGAATAAATGGAAATCCAAAGTCTGTAAATTTTCCTTGAAATTAATAATAAACAACAAGAGTTAGCTCGGGTTTCGTCTTCGTGCACGTAGAGGTGGGCTTGAGAAAAGCGTCAACATGCCTCTGACAAGAGATTTATTACATCTTTCCATGGAGGATGAGAAGAAAAAGCATAAAAAGAAACGGCTAGTTCAGAGCCCAAATTCTTATTTTATGGATGTAAAATGTACAGGTTGCTACAAGATTACCCCAGTTTTCAGCCATGCTCAGACAGTGGTTCTTTGTGTAGGTTGTTCAACAGTGTTGTGTCAGCCGACAGGGGGAAAAGCCAGACTCACAGAAGGTTGTTCATTCAGAAGAAAACAACATTAATGCTCTCTGTGACTTCCTGAATTTCTCTTCGGTCACAGAAAGCCTTACCAATCAGTAATTCCAGTTAATCCATCATAATATAATAACATTTCAGTTTTTGGTGAAGTATGTGGCACTTACTTCTTTTGGTGTCAGTTTTTTCAATAAAGTTTTGATTATGGGCAAAAAATAATAATAATAAACAACAAGAAAAAAAATAATTCCATTATGCTGTTGTTAGGTGCTGGATATCTGATTCCAATTCATGGCGATTCTAGTTGTAAAGAGCTATACTGCCCATTCAAAGGCACACAGTTCGAATCCACCAGCTGCTCCCCAGGAGAAAGATGGGCAATCTTCTCCCATACAATTTGCAGCCTCTGAAAACTTGCTGGAGGGCCAGCTAGGAGTGAGCAGAGAACGCAGCAAAGAAGTAGAGTGCCAAGGGTGAGATAGCTGATTAGTAGTTTGGAATGTGGGGGAGAGTCTGACCCATAGGAATTATCCTTGGGCAGTTATGGGGTTAATGGGGATTCTCCTTCGTTCTGTGAAGTTAATGGAGGTTGGACACTGTTATTGTCAAGCCCACAGAGTACTTAAAACTGCCCAGTGAGTTGTCTGCTAGACTAATACGTGGAAAAGAAACCGTCCAAGACTAATACAGAGACAGGTGACCTAGCAGACACACATATAAGATTTTTTTTTCTCCTTCCCACTTGCCTTCTGTGGCCTTTCCTCTTCCCAGGACCCCCAGAAAAGTTGGCCCTGAGGCAAAATTAAGTGTTACACATACATAGAACAAAAACATCAAGAGGACTGTTTTAGATATGTTTGAGGTGACAACTGGACATTCAAGTGAAGACGTCAAGTAGGAAGTTGGATTTTCAAATCTGGAGTTCTTGGGAAAGGTCAGGATGGAAGTAAAGTCTAGTCTTTTTTTTACAATAATTTATTGAAATTAGATTCCACATTTTGGCAACTATTAAAATTTATTAGTACTACAAGTTAGGTCCCTAGGGAGTTATACACTGCTAACTCAAAAGATGGTGCCTCTTTGAAAGTTCGAGTCCACCAACTGTGCCACCAGAGAAATATATCCAATCTTCCCTGAAATAATTCACAGCCTATTAAAACTGGCTGGAGTATGAGTCAGTTCTAACTTGGCAACAGTGAATTTGCTCTTCTTTGTTTTAGCGTAGCAACTGGTAATGTCTGTTGTCATTGTTATGTGTCATCTAGTTGCCTGTTACAGCAGCCCTCTGAACCCTGCCCTGTTCTGAGCCAGTCTCACTAACTCCAACACACCTACCTCCATTGTCCCAATTACTGTATCAATCCATCTCATCTGAGGTCTTCCTCTCCTGCACTGTCCCACCACCCTTTCAAGCATGATGCCTTTCTCCAAGGACTGGTCCCTCCTGGCCACGTGCTCAAAATATGTGAGACAGAGCTTCAAAATTCTAGCCTTCAAAGAGAAACTTGGTTTCATTCTCTCCAAGACAGATCTGTATGATTTCTCAGTGGCTCATGGTATTTTCAAGACTCCTCTCCAGCACCACAACTCAAAGGCATCCAGTCTTCTTCTGTCACCCTTAGTCATGGTCCAATTCTCTTATTCATGGCGAGTAATTGTGAATACCGTGGTCTGGATCAGGCACACTTGAGTTTCCAGATGGACATCGTAGCTTCTCAGGAAATTCTCTTTCAACTGATTGGCGGCTCAGAGTAAATCTCACGTCGAGGTGATTATATCATATTTGATTTCATAAAGGGAATAACTTCATCCTAATTGACAAATCAGGGAGTCATGGGAAGCCATGTTGACACAGTCACATGACACATCACAACCACTAAATGTTGCATGCTCTGTCGGTTACTCATGTCGACTCCCCTGAGTTCTCCATAGAATTTTCTTGGCTGTGATAGTTTTGTTGTTATTTAGGTCTACAAGACAGCAAATTGGTTTTCCATACAACAACTCATACACACTCTTGAGTAGAAGAAAGAGATCAGAGAACAGAGAGGTTGACAGAAGCCAGGCTCACAAGGTCATGGTGAAGAGTTAGACAAACTCTGAAGGACATTAAGCAGAGAGGAGAGACAGAAGGTGATATGTTTTCAGATGAGGACTTTTAAAACTGGATCACGGGAGCTCTGGTGGCCTAGTGGCAAGAAGCTGCATTGTAATCCCAGAGGTATGCAGTTCAAATCCACCAGATGCTCTGCTGGAGAAGGAGGGGGCAATCTCCTCCTGTACCAGTCAGATCTGATTTGACGGTACACGTAAAAATAATACAATAAAAAGTAAAAAACAACAAAAAAAAAAAAAAACAACTGGATCACAAAACAAACAAGCAAAACCACTGCTACGGACTTCTTTAAAGTCTTACAGAGTATAAAGATGTCACTTTGAAGACTAACGTGCATCTGACCCAAGCTAGGGTATTGCCACTCACCTGATATGCATGTGAAAGTTGGACAGTGAATTAGAAAGATCAACGAAGAACGGATGCTTGTGCATCATGATGTTGGCAAAGAGTAGTGAAGACACTATGAACTAGCAAAAAGACTAAGCTCTGTCTTGAAACAAGTGCAGCCGGAGTTCTCCTTAGAAGTCAGGATGATCTCATGACATCCTCTTCACGTACGTTGGGCATGTTATCCGGAGAGACCAGCACCTGGAAAGGGATATCCTGCTTGCAAAAGTAATGAGTCCAAGAAAGAGAGGAAGGGCCTCAGCAAGACACATGAACATGGTGACGGCAATGGGATTAAGCAGAGCAGAGACTGTGAGAAGAGCACAGGCTGGGAGAGTGTCTCGTTATGTTGTATACTGCGTGGGTATGAATTGAAGTCGACTGGATGGCATCTAACAATAACAGCCATGATTCCAACTTATAACAACGCTGGGAGCATCACTTTAGGATTCTCAGGGCTCTTTAAATAAATGATGAATCTATGGAAGCAGAATGTCTTATCTTCCCCCCCCCCCACAATGGAGTATCTAGCTGTGGGTTTGGAACTGCTCACTTGTTCTTAACAGTCAAATGTTGTAACCACTGCACCACGCATGACCTGGGAGAGGGGATGGTGGGTGTACGGAGAAGTATTCAGAAACTGTGCTGGGCTTTTCTCCCCAACAACTCCGTCTTCGGTGGAGTCAGTACTATCTGGCCGTACTGTGCAAACCACAGTTGTTGAATCAGCAGGCATCTCTGCCAGCTCAGGAGTCTCATCTCTTCAAGCTGTTATATAAAGACATATGGAGCTCTTTGGTGGTGAGAGGGGGAGACGGGAAGGCTTGCTTTGGGAGTCCAGTCTTCCGTTATGGCAAGACAGGAAGTCACAGCCACTGCTGAGGGTGAAGAGGAAGTTCCACACTTCCTAGGGCACAGCCAACCACAGCCCTGCTCACACCTGGGTGGCCGCCCGCACAGTTCTAGAGACGCGACCAGGAGAGATGACCGGGCTGGGACCTGAGGCCTGGGAGAGAGAGAGGAAGCAGGACATCAAGAGTCACTCTGGATGTGACACAGCTCATGTCCTTAACCTCTGCCTGCTTTTGGAAATTATCTGACTTCCTTCCATTTGGAAAGGGAAAATAAAAGCCTGGCCGATTACGTGCGATGCATCGGAGAGTTGGACAGTGAATAAGGATGACTGAAAGAGAACTGATGCCTTTGAGCTGTGGTGCTGGAGAAGAGTGTTGAATATCCCATGGACTGCTAGGAGAACAAACAGATTCGTCCTGGAGAGGGTGAAGCCGGAATGCTCCCTGGAGTCAAGGATTCTGAAGCTTCGTCTGACATACTTTGGGCATGTTGCAAGGAGGGATTGGTCTTTGGAGAGGGACATCATATTTGGGAGAGTGGAGGGATGGCGCAGGAGAGGAAGACCCTCGATGAGACGGATCGATTCTATGAGTGGGGTGGTGGGAATGAGTGCGTTTGAGATGGCGAGGTTGGCACAGGATAGAAGAGCGTTTAGGGCTCTTGTACATAGGGTCACTACGAGTCACAAGCGACCCGATGGCACATAACAACAACCCTTGGGGGAGATAATATATTCAAAAGCCCAGCTCTGATGGGATTAAAGTGAAAATTCTGTTCTAGACCGTGGAGAGAACATGAAACTCATATTCAAATTCTTTGAATGGATAACAGATAAATAATAGGTAATATTTTATAAATTTTTGTGAACTGTGAATTATAACTGGGGAATTCCTGGGAGTCTCATCTCCAACTAGAAAGAAAGAAAAAAAAGGAGGTCCCCAGATTTGGGGAAACTGGGGCACCCACACTCACTGGATGGCTCTTGACTGGACTATGCTCCTTCGTGGGGACTTTGGGGGGCAGAGGTCGCGGAGTCTGCACTGGAGTCACCACACTCCGCATCTTCTTCTCTGGTAGGATGACCACAGGGGTCAGGGTTGGAGGTTGCTGCGGCTTCTTAGGTGCTTTTCCTAAGAGGAGGAAGGAAAATGAGAATACATGATTGGTTGCTCAAAAAAGGGGGACAGCCAATGGCAAGGGAGGCTGGTCTGAGAGGTGGCACCTGACTGACTCTGATTGGTTGATAATTGAGAAGAAGCTAATGGGACGCGACCATTTGTGGTGCTGATTGGCTCATCTCAGTTTCCGATGAACCTCCTTCTAGGGACCCTCTCAAATGCCCGTGGCAGCATCTGCCTGTCCAGCAGACCTCCTACTCACCCCGAAAGTGGCACAGGCAGCAGATGCACAGGACAAGAAGAGAGATCAGGAGGGCCAGGCCCAACAGGGAGCCTAGGACGATGCCAGCGATGGCCCCAGGGCTCAGGGTGGGACCTGGAAGGGGCAGAAAGAAGGGAGAGAAGGGGGCAAGGGGCCAGGGCTGCACCCACGTTTCCTAAGCCCCTAACTGCCTCTTCCCTCAGGGAATCAGACCTTCTGCCCCTCTTCTGGAAACCAAACACTAAATCCACAGCTGTCCACTCTATTTTGACTCATAGTGACCCTGAAGGACAGAGCAGAGCTGCCTCATAGGATTTCCGAGGTTAAGACCTTTACGGATGCAGACAGTTCCATCTTTCCCTACTGGTGGATTTGAACCACCGACCTTTTACTTAGTCGACGTTAGGTGTCGTCAGCATCTACTCAGAGTGATGACCGCTGAACAACAGATCCGAACCTCATCCTATTCTGCTCGAACTTCACCATCTCTGTTATCGGCACACAGATTGTTGCTGAGTCTTCCTCCAATCCTGATGCCACATTCTTCTTGGTAGAGTTTGATCTGGATAACCTTTTCGGCATTTATATTGAATAGGTATAGAGAGAGGGTTGTTGTTGTTGTTGTTGTTGTTGTTGTGTGCTGTTGAGTCGCTTGCGACTCATAGCGCACAACAGCCCTGAACCCTGCTCTATCTTGTGCCAACCTCACTGTCTCTGACACACCTACCCCCAATACCCCAGTCACTGAGTCGATCCATCTCATCGAGGGTCTTCCTCTCCTGCGCTGTCCCTCCACCCTCCCAAGCATGACGTCCCTCTCCAAGGACTGGTCCTTCCTTGCAACATGTCCGAAGTACGTCAGATGAAGCCTCAGAATCCTTGCCTCCTTCTACAGAGCAGCTCGTGGATTTGAACCATTCACCTTTTGATTATGCATAAGTCATGAGAGCTTCTTGTAAAGATCATAGCCCTAGGAACTCTATGAAGCAGTTCTACTCTGTCCTGCAGGTTCTGTGAGTTCATAGTGTCCCAGTGGTGATGGGTTTGGTTTTAAAAAGGCTACAGCGCAGAGTTTTGTTCTTTGTGGGGTCGCTGGGAAACAGTCCACTGGCCAGCTCCTAACAGCACAGACCAGATCTAGTCCGCATACATGAGGCCATCAGGAGTCAGGGTTCGCTTAAACATTAACAACACAGCAAAGCTCTACATGTTGACTGGTTCACGTTGAAAACAAACACAGAAAGAAATGAAGTCTGAGATTAAGACGCTGGGATATTCTGGGCTTAGAGTTTAGGTAAAGAGAAGTAGGGTGAGAAGGGTGGAAAAGGGATCCTGGAGAGCTGGGAGGAAGCCCAAGGGAATGCGTCCACAGCCCCACTCACCGGCCTGGTAGATCCGGCTTTGTGAAGGGGTCCCTGGCTGGCCCCCCAGGGTGGGCAGGATTCGCAAGGCCCAGGAGTTGGGTCTTCGCCGTGGCAGGGGCACCACGGCGGAGCGCTCGCGAGGCCCCAGGACCAGCAGGGAGACCCAGTTATTGTAGGTGGGGGCTCTGCCTGCGTCCAGTCCCTCCTGCCTCGCCTGCACCGCAAAGCCGCTGATCAGAGCCCCACGCTCCACATCCCAGGTGAGCACCGCCCCGTCCTGTGCTCTCTGCAGCTTCCACGAGGAGATGGAGGGTCCTGGGGGAGAGGAGGGGACTGAGGGCGAGCGCTGGAGGGGGACCAGGCTCCCGAGTCTGGGGGAGGAGGAGCCTGAGAACTGGGCTCCGGAGGGGGCGAGGTATGGGGGTGCTTAAACTCTTGAATCTGAGGAAAGAGGGGCTGAAGGCTTGGATGCCTGCAGGCGGCAGGGACCCCTGGGTCTGAGGAAGGAGGGCTTGAGGTTTGTTGGCTCCAGGGTTTGAGGGAAGTGGAGGGGCTAATGACGAGGACTCCCAGGTCTGCAGGAGGAGGAGGGGGTCAGTACTCTCAGGTCTGGGGGGGGAGGGGCTAGGGCTGGGTCTTCAGGGTCTGAAGGAAGAGGGAGGAGAGGATAGAGGTGCTGGACAATTGGGTCTGAGGGAGGAGGAATTGGGGGTCAAGACTGCCAGGCCTGCGGGAGGAGGAGCTGGGGTCAGGACTCCAGCGTCTGAGGGAGGAGGGACTAGGGGTGAGGACTCCAGGGTCTGAGGGAGGAGGGGCTGGGGGTGAGGACTCCAGCGTCTGAGGGAGGAGGGGCTGGGGGTGAGGACTCCAGGGTCTGAGGGAGGAGGGGGTGGGGATTGGGATTCTTGGGTTTGAGGGAGGAGGGGCTGGGAGCCTGGTCTCCCGGGTCTAGGAGATAATTGTTATTGTTGTTGTTGATTGCCTTCCAGGCGAGCACAACTCCTACCGACTCTATATGAGTTGTGACCCTATGAACACAAGGCCTGAAGCTCCTTCTTCTACAACTATGGACATTTATCAAAGGTCATAGAGTTTTCCGGGGCGCAAGCTGTGTAGGAAGTGCATGGGGCTCACCAATCAGGGTGATCTGGTCGCCACCGGCACCCAGCGCCCCGCTGCACAGCACCGAGTAGTTTCCCAGGTCCCAGTCCAGGCTGAAGTTGCCAATAAGGAGCCTCCGTCCATCCTGGCTGAGCCGCAGGCGACCTCCGCTTCCGGGGGCCAGGGGCCGGCCTTCCCGCGCCCAGGATGCTCTGGAGGGTGGGGGGCAGCCCGCGGCCTCCAGGGCCACCTCCGCCTCCCCGGAGCGAGTCTCCTCCACCCGCGGATGTAGCAGCACCTCTCGGGGGGCCTCTGCAGGAGGAGAGGCTCTGTAAGTAAGGCAAGCCCTCACCCTGGGTTTAACGCGGTCCTAGTGCTAAGAAGCTTTGTTGCAACCCCAAAGGTGAGCGGTTCGAATCCACTTTTTGCTCCTCGGAAAAAGGATGGGTAATCTCCTCCCCTGGGATTTACTGCCTTTGAAAACCAGCTCGGCTGGTTCCCATTTGACAGAAAACAAGAAGAAGGGGCGCAGAAAGCCCCACCCGCTCTCACCTGGGGTGATGGTGCAGGTGCGCGTGGTCATCAGGTGGTGAGCGAGGCAGGTGACCGGGACGCCACTGAGCTGGGGATGGACGGGGACCGCTGCCAGGAGCGCAGATGGCGCTGGGCCTGCACGGACGCCTTCGGGGAGACCCTGGAACTGCAAGGAGGCGGCGGGGACCCCTCCGGGCCAGGAGCAGCGGAAGTGGAGGCTACGGTCCCCAGGGCCACCTTCCACTGAGCACTCTGGAGACCCGGGTGGCAGATCTGGGAAAGTGAAAAAACGAAGGAGGATACAGCTTCCAGGCTTGGCACATTAGCTCCACCCCTCCTTCACCTAGCTCCACCCACAGTCTCTAGCTGAACCCAGTAACCCCATCCCCGAGGGAGCGACTTGACCACTTGACCGCCTTGTCTCCAGGAAAGTCTAAGCCACGCTGTGCATCATTGCACCCTGACCTTCAAACACAGCCTGACCCCCTTCATTTCTCCATCCACTCATTCTCCCTGGCTACACTGCCTCTTCTTTGTTAGAACACAGGTAAATCCATTTTCATGCTCTCTCATCTTCCCTTGTCCCAAATTTGTCAGCCCTTGTACTTGTAGGTCCTGCTGTTAAAAAATTACCACAGTACATTTACAAAAGTGCAACGATGTCAGTCTGGAGACTAAGGTGTGCCTGATACATGCCATGGTCTTTGCAATCACTTGCTGTGCATCAGAGAGCTGGACAGTGACTAGGGATGATAGAAGGAGAATTGATGCCTTTGAGCTGTAGTGTTGGAGAAGAAAATTGAATATACCATGGACTGCTAAGAAAACAAACAGGTTCAACCTGGAGAGGGTGAAGCCAGGCTGCTCCCTGGAGGCAAGGATTCTGACATACTTTGGACATGTTGCAAGGAGGGACCAGCCCTTGCAGAGGGACGTCATGCTTGGGAGGGTGGAGGGACAGCTCAGGAGGGGAAGGCCCTCTATGAGGTGGATTGATTCAGTGACTGGGGTAATGGGGGTGGGTGTGTTGGAGACAGTGAGATTGGCACAGGACCGAGAAGGGTTTAGGGCTGTTGTACATAGGGTCGCTATGAGTCGTAGGCGACTTGACGGCACATAACAACAACAACAACATTTACAAAAGTACCTTGAGAGGAGGCAGCAGTAGGCACACAAATGTAAAACGTGCTATTATTTTTGTAGAAATATTGTACTAACGTAGGTCATTTAGACCCTTCCCATGTCAGGTCATTTAGATCCTTCCCATGTCACTCAGCTCCTTACTTTTCTGACAATACTTCTTGTCCAGCAATCTCCTCACCCCTTGTTGACCAGTCCCTTCTCCTGGGCATACACACTCTTTGGAGAATCTTCCACCTCTCCTGGCTGGCTCTGCCCCTCCCCCAGGTACACTAACCCCTCCCAGCTGACCCTGTTCTCTCCTGTAAGCACCTTTTCCTCCTGTTTTGTCACCCTCTCCCCAGGTATCCCACCCTTCTGGCTGGCCTCTCTCCTCTTCTTTGAAGTGAAGTCCGTACCTGCTCGCCTTACTGATCCCACTACCTCTGCTAATTACCTTTGCCTCGGATGTCATCCCTCCCTTGGGCATCCTTCTCCTTCTCTACTGTCCCTGTCTAGTCCCTGGGTCACCTCCTCTTTCTTAAAGGGCACCAGCCCCTCTGCCTTGGCCTCATTCCCTTCGGGTATCCCTGAACCCTTTCTAGCCCTATCCCAGATAATCCCCCCCATTGGCCCTGTCTTCTCTATGGGTGATGCCCTTTCGTAGGTATCTTGGTCCCTTGCTGGCCCCTAGGAAACCTTCTAAGGTATTTCTGCTCTGTCAGACAAGGTTGCTATGAGTAGAACTCAATTCTATGGCTGTGGGTTTGGATATGTGTTCGGATTTGGGGGCCCTGCTCTTCCTGGTTATCCCTGTACACGTTTTTGCTTTTCCTTTTTCCAACCCCACCTTCACCCAGGTACTCGTCCTTGGCCACCTGAATCAGGTACCTATCTTTCTGGCTTGATTCGGCCACTCACAGGATATGTCAGCCCCTTGCTGGCCCCGCCCCTCAGAGAGAGTTGCTCCCTGACCCCGCCCCTATGTTTGCCGCCCCCCATGAGCACTGCCCCTCTGGTCTAGGTAACCGCCTCCGTAAGCATCCCTCCCTAGCTCCGCCCCTAGCCTAAATGCCCGCCCCTCCGGGTTAGCCCCGCCCCACAATGACTGCCCCGCCCTAGCTCCACCCCAGTCTAGGTACCCGCCCCTCTGGTTTGGCCCCGCCCCTCAGTGACTGTCCGCCCTAGCTCCACCTCCCACTCTAGATACTCGCCCTTTGGTTTTCCCTGACCCTCCCTAGCTCCGCCCCCAAGTCTAGGTACCCGCCCCTCCGTCCTGCCTCGCCCCTCAGTGACTGTCCCGCCCTAGCTCCGCCCCCTAGTCTAGGTGCTCCTCCCTCTGCTTTAGCCCCGCCCTGATCGCGCTCACCGGCCACTGTGAGGTTGAGCAGCGAGCGGCGGCGGCGTCCAGTACGCGGGTTCGCGGCCAGACAGGCGTAGGCGCCGGCGTGGCCCGGCCGGACCGCAGGCAGCAGGAGACGCGGCCCAGCGGGCACTGCGGCCTCGGTGGGGTCGGCGAGGCTCCAGGCGATGTCGGCGGGTGGCCGCGAGGCGGCGCTGCAGCGCAAGGTGACGTTGCTGCCCGCGGTGACGTAGAAGGTGGGGGCGGAGTCACGGTCCGAGGCCACCGTGATGGTGGGCGGGTCGGGGCCGTCTGGGGTCAAGCGGGCACGGGGGTCACTCTGGCGTCCACCAGGGCCCGCGGGGACTGAGCCCTCCCCCCACCACCGCGTCGCCCCACTCACAGAAGACGCTGACGTCGGCCGCGGCCTCCGTGTGGCCGAAGGGGCTGCGCACATGGCAGGTGTAGCGGGCGTGGTCACTGCGCGCTGGCCGCGCGATGACCAGCTGGTCGCCCTCCGTGCGGATCCGCGGCGGCTCGGCGCCCGCGGGGTCCTCCGCCTCCAGGGCGCGCCCGTCCCGGCTCCAGCTCAGCTCCCCGCGCCCCGGCCTCCACCCCGCGCAGCGCAGCCGCAGCTCGGACGCCCCCTCCTCGGTCTCCGGGGCGGGGGGCTGCACGGACAGCTGGGGCAGCGGCTCTGGACGGGGAGGGGCCAGCTCAGACCAGGCCCTGGGGTCCAGCCCCTGGCCTCTTAGATCCCGGGCTTCACGCCCCCCATTCCCCCACCACCACTTGTCACTCCGGAGGAATCGACCCTCAGTCACCCTTATCTTGCCCACCCACTCTTTTTCGACCCTCAATCACCCTTATCTTGCCCACCCACTCTTTCTCTTTCTTTTTTTTTCTTAGTTGAGGGCATTTTATTTTGTAGAGGTGAGAGAAAGAGAAAAGAGAGGGAAAGGGAGAGATCTCCTAGTGCAATACAACCAAAAAGAATTTTTTTAAGTCTTGAAAATTAAAACATAAAGCAGCCTTCTTTTTCGACCCTCAAATCACCCAGATCTTGCCCACCCACTCTTTTTTTGACCCTCAACCACCCAGATCTTGCCCACCCACTGTTTTTGACCCTCAGTCACCCGTATCTTGCCCACCCACTCTTTTTTTGACCCTCAGTCACCCAGATCTTGCCCACCCACTCTTTTTTTGACCCTCAACCACCCAGATCTTGCCCACCCACTCTGTTTTTGACCCTCAGTCACCCAGATCTTGCCCACCCACTCTTTTTCACCCTCTTTCAGGCACCTTAAAGGAGCTCTGGTGCTACAGTGGATTAGACATTCCACTGCTTTTGGAAAGGTTGGAAGTTCAAACCCCACCAGCTTCTCTTTCCAGCCTGTGGCCTAGTGGGTAAGGAGTTGCACTGCCAACCCAAAAGGCAGGTGGTTCAAATCCACCAGCTGAAAGATGCAATTTACAGCCTCTGGGGGGAAAAAACCTGCCAGAGGGTCAGCTATGATTTGGCTCCAGCAGGAATGAGTTTGAGCTGAGTTTTCCTTCCTTGGGGATTCACAACCTTGGAGACTCCCAAGGGGGGCAGTTCTACTCTGTCCAGCAGGGTCAGTGTTGGGATCAACAGGGCAGTGGGTTTTCGTCCCTCTTACCCCCACCCCGGGGGCTCTGAGACGTCCTGGTAGCACAGAGGTTAGTGCTGGGCTGACAAAGGGAATTCTCTGTCTTACTCTCAGTGAAGTCAGAAAAGATTCATAACGGATTCTCTAGTGGGTTTTGTAAGTCTCATGAGAGATTACCCTCAGAGTTTGTGGATTCAAGATAAATACAGCCTGTAGATATAACTCCCTACAGACTATCCCCTCCCCAAATGACAGACCTATACAGGGAACAATAACACTTGTAAGGCATGTATTCCTCAGAACAATCCATCCCAGGAGACAAAAAAACGCTGCAATTGCCCAAAGACAATACCTCAACAGGCAGGAAGGGGCAGGGAAGAAAGAAGAATGGAAATTGGGCAACAAAGAGAAAATGTTGTTACACTGAGGGAATTGCAACTAATGTTGTTAAAGAAAAGAAGAGAGAGAGAGAGAAAAGAGAGAAAGAAAGAAAGAAAAGGAAGGAAGGAAGGAAGGAAGGAAGGAAGGAAGGAAGAAAAAGAA